CCCGCCCTACCCCCGGGGGTCATGATTTAAACAAACTTGAATCTACACTACCTGAGGACGCTTCCATATATGAGGGTTGTTAGAAAAGTTCGCGGACACATTGAATTACGGAAAATCTATTGTGTGCTGTGAAGTACGACCTATGTCTGAATGAATTCCTACATTTTGTTTTTTGGTATGTAAAAAATCAGGTCCATATAATAAAATCTTGAAATTTTACAACTATTTTTACTATGGAGTCATGGGATTCACGGAGCAATCACTTGACGTAAGCGACGTGACAACCATATTTCAACCTGTTAAGCTTTGTCGCAGTTATATTTATAAATCTTTCATTTCTTAGATTTTTCTCATCTTTTTTCTACTTTAAAATTGAATATCTACATGTTACTTTTCTACTATAATGTCTTTTGTACTGATTCGTATATTATTGAGATCTTAAAAAATAAAAAAAAAGTCTATGCAGTTAATCGATCAGGTATGGAAACTATGCAAAACCATATAGACGCAACGCAACGTCCATGCCATAAGGGGGTATTGAAGTATCGATGGAGTTAATCATTCAAAATGTCCCTCCTTCCATTCTTATGAAGCTATAACCATTTGAAAACTTGTTCTTTGTATGTGTAGGAAATTCCCGGCGGCATCTTGAACATTTTAATCTCTTTTAGACATTTTCCTGTCTGCACACATAATTTCTACGTAGTGCAGTGCTCCATGACGCTCAATGACGTTCCGATTTTTGGCTGTCTTTTTACGCGTTGATCATTTATAAACGGCTATAAAACAGTCATATACCATCCAATTTAGTTCAAAATTTCCCCCAGTGACGTTTCCTGCATACTTAAGCGGCAGGTAAAATATCATAAATCTCTTTGCGCTACAATTGTACAATTCTTCATTTTAATAAAGAGTCTTTGTGATGTAAACGTGCCAAAATGTAGCATGCTCCGTGAAGCAAGTTTTATCAAAATAAAAATGCTGTATATTTTTCAATAATAACCGGAGAGCACCAAATTCTTGTATATTTATTGGAAAAAAGGTAAAGATTTTATCTGGAAAGTTTGACCGGTTTCGTGGAAATAGCGCGCTCACAATAGAACTTGTCCGCGAACTTTTCTAACACCCCTCGTAAGTTTCATCTTTCCTGGCACAGTGGTTCTTGAGAAGAAGATTTTTAAAATTTTTATTAATTCCCAATTATCTCCCCTTGAATGAGGGCGTGGCCCTTCATTTGAACAATCTTGAATCCCCTTCACCCAAGGATGCTTTGTGGCAAGTTTGGTTGAAATTGGCCCAGCGGTTCTTGAGAAGAAGTCGAAAATGTGAAAAGTTTACAGACAGACAGACGGACTGCAGACAAAATGTGATCAGAAAAGCTCACTTGAGCCTTCTGCTCAGGTGAGCTAAAAATTAAAAAAAATTTTGGATAAATTATTGACATTTGTACATTCATTTTGCTTCTTTTTTATGCTATTCAAACAGGCTCTTTGCCACTGGACACATGAAGGTTACAAATAGGAAAGTAGAACATTTAATTGCTTATTTTATCATCTGCCAGTTTGGGCCAGTGATATAAATTTTGTGATGTTGATCAAAATATTTAAAAAAAAAAATCAATTCTTTAAAAAAATCAATGCTGCCACAAACGATACTACATGCCTGTATATATTTGTATATACTTGCTTTTTACACTAATAGCTGAATTCTATTTAATTTCTTCTGGCTATTGTTTATTTCTTCCTCAAATGAACTTAACTTCTCCCATAGTTTTAGTCATTACATCTGATGCATAAGCGACCCTTTTCTGGAGAATGATGCTTAGACTGTAAACTATAACAGAGACCTGAACAATGTCACTGGCAATAGCTACCACGGGCAGTATTAAACCTGTGGGAGGAAAATAATTGCAGACAGATACTTTTGAATACGAATACATTATCATCTCACCCGCAAGCAACAAAGTCTTCAGCATTTTATTTGTCCTCTGAATGGGTGAAATGTTTTGAATGGCACTTCTATCGAAATTTTTTTTTACACCAAACCAAGTTATGGTGCTGCTATGAACTTTGCAAAATGAGTTCGTAAATTTGAAATCTCGATCCCGACTCAAATTTGACAAAAAATTCTGTTTTTTTTTCTGAAAATTCAAAAACTTGAGTGGCGGGTTTGTATATCTAAAAATAAAAAAAAATACTGGCCTTAAATTTGTAATTAGATCATTGGCATTAATTAACCAGGAGCAAAGGAAAAGATGTTCAAAGAATTCATTCATTTCACTATATAATCATTAGAGCCCCACCCCTAACACCAGAACCCCTGACCCAGGGGCCCTGAAATTCACAAATTATGAAGAGATAGCCTCATTCAACATAACTATGTACTTGGCTATCTGTGAACTATGAAAATGTTCAAAAGTTGTTGACTTTTGACAGGTGATGGACAATTAACAGATTAAAACAGATAGCAGTAGGTCACATGAGTGAATTAGGTGACCTGAAAATGACAAAAATAATGTCTTTTAAAGGGAATATATCTATCACAGAACAAATCAACAATTCTTTCCATAGAAAGTAGAAAGATCTCAATCATACTTGCCAAACTACAACATGCAAAAATCTGGTCATGACCAGATTTGGAAAGTAAAAAATCTGGTCATAACGCGTAAAGACATTCACGACATATTTACCATGAATAAATTATATATACTGATATATATAAGTTTTTGTGTATTGAGAATTCTTCTATCAAAAAAGGCTTTACCTTACAATGACAAAAAAATCATATATAATTTGATCATAAATTTTCATGTTAAAAGAGAGCATTGAAGGTTTCATATAATATTATCAGTATTGACCTGAATCAGGTGTGCATTTTTTAAAAGCAATTTCAGTTTCTGCTAAATTTGAAAGTATTCCAATTTTGGCTTTAGACTTATTTTTCCTCTTTCGTTATTAACTAGTGCAATATGTATTAAATATGCAGTTAGGGCTATACTGTCTTCTATCATTTTATCTTATAAAAGTTGTTTTCCAAGATTCCTTGATATGCACATACTTATCGTTTCTCTTTTCCTTGGTTTATTCAGGGACGTGTCTCTGCCTGCTGGCCCTGATAATGATCTAGTTCTATCTGAAGCCATTTTAAATTGACTTCAAACAACGATTTGTCAAAACAACACCCAGTTAATTGTTTACACCTGCACTGATAATTAATCCATCAGCATTGTATACGTAGATTTAAGCTTGGGTTGTAACTTGAAGTTAAAAGTGCAACCTAATTTATGAACCAAATCCGTAAATCTTGAGATTTTTGGGTTGTTTGGCAAAAATCGGGTGAAAAGTGTGACCCCCCAGGTCATAAAAAACTAGAACTGTCCAATAAATAGGTGCCAATTCAGAAATATTTTATGGATGTAGTAAGAGGTGTTCACTATTGTCTAATAAAGTGCCCCGCCACAGCATGATACGCCAATCAAATATTGTTCAATAATCATAAATTGGTTAGGGTGCAATAAAATCAAGTAACCTTGATTAACAGATTGACACAGATTTCAATGATCTATTTTCCATTTCTTATCAGGTTTAAAATATTTTACATACATCTCTAAGAGACTTACAGTGTAGGGATTATATAATTAAAACAAATAATACGTACATCATATAATTCTAAACTGGCTGTGTTAGAGCTTAACAAATATCCATCTGCCGCTTTAAATTGTTTATTGCATATTTTATGAAATAATGGAAATGCTACAGTCTAATAAAAAAAAATCAAAAATTAATAATTATTCTTTAGACTATAAAATTCTAAGTGAGACATGACTGCAATTTGTTGCAAATATATAAAAATTGAAATGTATTTTTTTTTCAATGAACACATGTATAATTAATTTTAATTATATTATACAATACTAATTCAGTTTTAATCATATACTAAAACATCAATTTGTTTTAATTACATTACACCAATTGAAAGATGTTTATCTGAACTACAGCCATCAAGAACTCTTAATTAACACAAGCAACTATAAGGCCATTTCTTTTTGCCCAACTCCCAAGAGACAAATTAAGATAATACTGCATGATGCTCTTGCCAGTTAACTCCCGACAATGAAGTCATTAATTTCTCTCTAATTTGACATGCACATTTCTGCTATCAAAAATTCTCCTTGACCAGTGCTTGATAATTATGCCCATGGGACAAACTGAATTCCTCTCAAATCATTAACATTTTTTACAGAATTTGCTGTAAAGTATATGATGGAAAAATAAGTTTTTACTTAATTTAGCATTTTTTAATAAGGATACAACAATATTTTTACATTTTTTAGGATTATGAAATTTTAAAATTTTAAAGACTTAGTTTTTTAAAAAAATCACTTAAATTAAAGGTCACAGTGACCTTGAAATAGGTCGTGACACACCGTCTACCCAAGATGCATAAATTGTCCAAGTTTGATGATTGTATGTGTAATAGTTTTCTAGTTATGAGCCAAACAATATCACAAAATAAAAAAGGAAAAACGCCTGTAAAATGCAGAAAAATCATCCAATCATGATGAAAATCCCAGGTGCACACCTTCATATGGTGAATAATAAGTGTATAAATTTTCAGACAAATCCATCCAACAGTTTCTGAGAAACGGTCCGGACAAAATCTTGTCTACAGACGGACGGACAGACGGACATGGTGATTCCTATATACCCCCCTAAACTTCGTTTTCGGGGGTATAATAATCGGGTTACAGGTTAAAAAATCGGGTGAGTTGGCAACTATGATCTCAATAAAGAAACCATGCCAACAGTACGGTCCAGATCAAAAACCAACATATAGATTTATATATATTAAGTTTGACTCATACTGTTCAAGAAATACCATTTTGAAGAATGGATAGACAGACTGACAATGGATACCTTACTAATGGATAAGCTGTTCTGTCTCTGACCTGTAGAGATAATGATAAAAGATAATAGTCACAAGTATGCACTAAAACTTACATTTCATGGCCTCCACACAGAATCTTGACTGTTCGGACATGTTTTGAAGGACCTCGTCATTGAGGAGGACATAGATTCCTGAGGGTCCCTGGCAGTACAATTCTCCAATTTGATCTGCATTGACATTATAGAGCTGGGCAAGCTTCTCCAGAAGTTCCTGGCTTGTCAGGTGCTCGAGGTAGAGGGCATGGTACACTGTAATAATTTTATGAGGCAGTGTCTAATTATTTCTACCCAAGGGATTTTGACAGTTTTTTGTTAATTAAGGCTTCCGTCATCACGGAAGACCTTATAGTGATTCTATCTACTGTTTCTTAAATTTGGAAACTTACTTCCGCTGCTAAGTTACGGACAATTTTCTGAAATTAAAATGACATTTTGTCCACAGTTAAACTCAAAAACGGTAAAAGATATCAACACGAAACTTTCAGCGATTATAGATCGTGATAAATACTATCCAGGATGCAACCTTTCATTCGTCGTCAATACTTCCTGTTATTAGGAAATGCAAAGATAAAAAAATTGTACGAGGGTTGATCCAAAAGTTCGTGGAATTTCTTCCTAAAATTTTATCTTGATTTGATGAAAGCAAACAACAGGCATATTCATAAAATAGAGTCATAATGTTACAATATTGGAAAATTTCACCAGTTTCCAATTACCTATAAGGTCACACGAGCGTTCTGAAAATGGATAGTTGTGAAACCCGGGGGAGACTTCGACGTTACATCTAGTTAGATATGTCAGGTCACGTTATAGAAGCATCTCGCCCTAATGTCCAATTCTAGCAAGTAATTCTACAAAATGCTGGCCTTTTCTCCATTTCTTTTCTCAAGAAAACCTGGGTATCCTCTCGCACCAACTTATCTTCATTTTTCACTAATATTTCAAAATACTACCCATCTTACTATATGATGTTCCAATTTCAGTAGCGATGTCAAGAACAGTACAGCGGCCGACAACGTCCATTAACGCTTGAAATTTGTCTAGGGTGATACGCACTTAAAACAGAGCTTCCAAAAAGCGACCACACCTTTAATCAACGTCCATGGAAGTTCTATTTTTCTTAAATTTCTTATGCCACTGGAAAAGCAGTAATTAAATGCATTTTTCCCAAGCCTTTGTCAATAATATACGAGTTCAAGATAGAGTCATCTCGGGATTTATGACTTGACCGAAATTTGACGTTGTCTAACAACTTGAAGATGAACAATAAATCATCAACCTATTCACAAAATATCCAGTAAAATCAGTAAAACTCTCACACAGAGGTTTATAAAAGATCAGGCAATTGTAATAATGACATATTTTTTTGTTTTATATACCACATGGGGCGGTTTAATTCTCATTTCACGTATTTAGAATGAAAATGATAATGAACGTGTTAATGTCTCCCCTGCATTTCCAAACAACCGTTTCTATGGCAACTGCCATAGAGCCACTATCTAAGATATTCAAAATGTTTTTCAATTCAAAATATTCCTCCAGTGTCTATATTTTTATTTGTAACATTCAACCGATTCCACTTTAAAATAAATGAAATATGAAGAAATTCCACGAACTTTTGGATCAACCCTCGTATTTTCTCACTTTTTTGTTTTTCAATATTTTTCATTTATTTTTAGAATGGTAATAGAGACCTTTTTATTGATGCTTTCTTTATAATTTGTTTGAATATTAATAAATCTAAACTCTAGATATTAACATTTAAACACCTGAAGTGGGACCAAAATGGTGGCTGCCTCTGTCAACTCTGACATTTCGCAATAGGTGTTTATGCAGGCATCCGGGCGTTTGTTTGAACGAAGGTAACATAAGGATAAATGAAATGTAAATGAATACGTTGATTGTCACATAGTAATTACTTTACAATTCTGTGTCAAACTAAAGATTTATTCCAGGGTCTTCTCAAACGTCTTCTATAATTGATTTTGGCTGGTTCTCGAAGTAGAAAAAGAAAAGACTAAATGTGTAAATGAGATAAGATACCTACTATCATTTGTTTTGCACGATGAAAAAACAGATCTTAAATTATAGTTATAAGTAATAGTTTTTCAAGAAACAATATCGATGTATATAGTAAGTATAAAACGTTACCACTGTTTTTCCCATGCACACTTGTGTCATATTAAACTAATACAAAAGACAAAAATTAGAAAACTATTTTTTAATAAGATTGTCTAGTGGAGTTTATATTAACATTCTTATCTCAAAGATCTGATTCAAGTTATTGAACATAAATGATATCTGATTCCTTGACTGTCGTAGGGTGAGAAATGTTTTTCGGCGAACCATTTCAACCTTTTCATGAAAGTGTAACCAATCGGCAAAGTTCACTTTGGGGATAAACGGGAATTTAAAATAAAATCAAAATTATAATCATTTCACTGCTTTTGTATTACTTACTTATAGAATGTGTACAATGTGTTATATACTTTCTAAACCTTGAAATTTAGGCTATATCAACGTTCTTTTTTCTTAACCTCATTGAAGCTATCACACCTATTTAATAGATAGAGCAGTACTCCCAATAGCGTAATAGTAAGCGCGTTTGGGATAAAAAAGGAAAAAAGTGCATTGGATTTTCACGCTGGCAACCTGGGTTCAATCCTCCTTATGACCAAAATTTTTAATCACTTTTCAGCTCGATTTTACGAGTTTTTTTTCCTGAATCGGACGAAGGCTCTCACTCTTTTTAACAATTTTAAAACTCGTTCATTTTGGACATTAAAATTCCCATGTATTTGGAATTTTTCTACCCCCAAATTCAAATAAGCAAAATGCTCATTGAAGCTTTATTATTAAAGTTTACAAATTGTGTACTCAACACACAAAATACTTAATATATTTTTACCATGCTTTAAGTTCACATTTAAGTAACCTGCCGGGCTCCCCCCAGATACTTTAACTACTTAAATTATTATCAACCTGCTGGGCTCCCCCCAGGTTGATTGAAATACCTACTGTATTAGTACCATGCTTTTAGTTCACATTTAGTAACCTGCCGGGCTCCCCCCAGGTACTTATATTATTATCAACCTGCTGGGCTCCCCCCAGGTTGATTGACTACAACAAAAAAATATTGCTTTGTTCGGTATTGATGATTGCCTGCTGGGCTCCCCCCAGGTAATTTTAATTTGGAACCTGCTGGGCTCTCCCCAGGTTCTGGGATAACAACTAATAACCTGCTGGGCTCCCCCCAGGTTATATTTTAATCTATGTATTTAATTCAGAGAGCAGCCCCCAAGATGCCAAAGTTTTTAGTAATGTATTTTTATAACAGTATTTGTTTTTAATTTATTTGTACTCAACCTTGTGTTGTACATAGTGTTTTTTGATTTATTATGTGATGTGTTCATTTTAATAAATCTAAACCTTTACCTTTTGTCATGTTGTGTATAAAATGTAAATTTATGTAATTTTTGTTTATACACAACTATGTTACTTAACTGTTGACGTAATCAGTAGACATGTGTCTGGGATGTTTATAAACAAAACCACGTGATCGATGGAACCAATCAGAAGTGCGGAAAGGGACGCTATCTCAGTCTGTCTTTTGTAATCGAAGTGTTTAGTATTGTACCTTTAAATTGGTCATCTCACCCACCACCCCTTCATCTCCTGTTGTATAAGTACTAACATATATCTGTTTGACATTGCATCTTTAAAAATTGTGAAATTGTTACATGTATCTCATTATTGTTATGATGTACATCATCATCTTTGTTTTAATATTGTACTTCAATCACTGTTTATATCATCAACTGTTTTAAAGGGGCTGCTTTATTTGAATTATTTTAATATTAATACATTTGGACATTAAATTATAGGACATTAAAATTCCCATGTATTTGGACATTAAAATTCCCATGTATTTGGAATTTTTCTACCCCCAAATTCAAATAAGCAAAATGCTCATTGAAGCTTTATTATTAAAGTTTACAAATTGTGTACTCAACACACAAAATACTTAATATATTTTTACCATGCTTTAAGTTCACATTTAAGTAACCTGCCGGGCTCCCCCAGGTACTTTAACTACTTAAATTATTATCAACCTGCTGGGCTCCCCCCAGGTTGATTGAAATACCTACTGTATTAGTACCATGCTTTTAGTTCACATTTAGTAACCTGCCGGGCTCCCCCCAGGTACTTATATTATTATCAACCTGCTGGGCTCCCCCCAGGTTGATTGACTACAACAAAAAAATATTGCTTTGTTCGGTATCGATGATTGCCTGCTGGGCTCCCCCCAGGTAATTTTAATTTGGAACCTGCTGGGCTCTCCCCAGGTTCTGGGATAACAACTAATAACCTGCTGGGCTCCCCCCAGGTTATATTTTAATCTATGTATTTAATTCAGAGAGCAGCCCCCAAGATGCCAAAGTTTTTAGTAATGTATTTTTATAACAGTATTTGTTTTTAATTTATTTGTACTCAACCTTGTGTTGTACATAGTGTTTTTTGATTTATTATGTGATGTGTTCATTTTAATAAATCTAAACCTTTACCTTTTGTCATGTTGTGTATAAACCTCTCGTTGCTCGCAACGAGATCGTTTCTAGTCTTTAATATTTTTTTGACTTTCTAATTTTGTGCACGCGATTTCTCGAATACTACTGGGCGGAATTACAAGAAATTTCCCGGACAGATGTGAAACACTGATGCAAAGCTTTAACTTTTCTTAAATGTAAATTAAAAAGGGTCTTCTCACAACTAATACATTTGTGAAATATGAAAGCCCTACCATCACCTGTTCAAAAGTTATGGCCAAGGATAAATTTTGAACGGTAGGTCAAACTCTAATGTCAAAGAGTCAAAGTTGATGGTTTCTTAAGAAAGGTCTATAATGTCTCAAGGATTACATATCTGAAGCAGTGTTTTCCCCAGGCTGTTTTTGCATGGCGGTACTGCCATGCATTCATTATCTCCCGCCATGTATCACATGTTGCTGCTATGCTTCCCACTATGCATGAATTTTAATTGTGTACCATTTAAATGTTAGCAGTTAATACTACTCTTTAAATAAAACAATTCAAATTGCCTAAGGAACCTAGCATGTACTGTACTTGTTGGGCACCTGTTGTGAACTCGATGCGAATCACTGCACGGGGTATGATACAATAGGCCTAGCTGTCAATTTTTATGCCCCCTTAAACAAAGTTTTTGGGATATATATAGTTTTTGTCATGTCT